ACTCCAGGAGGCCTCTAACCTGAGAGATTTTGGATCATGACGTGGGCTGGGGTGTAGCTCAGAGGCAGAGCATGCCTGAGGCCCTGGGCTCCGGACCAGCACCACACGTACACATACAGAACAAAAATCAGCTTGTGGCAAACACAACAAAGGATAAAATGCCCTCCACCCCTCCGGAGCACTGCTGAATCAAGCAGAAGCCAAGCAGACCCGGTGGGCTCGGCTTCCACCCTGCAGCCCCTGCCTCCCAGCTGCAGTCTGGGCCAGCACAACGCAAATCAACAGCACAGTCCCAAATACAGGAACGCTGGCATTCTAGACAGCAGAGGCTGTAAAGTCAACAAAGGCCATCCAGAGTCCCAGTGCAAAGGAAGAACCCAGCATTCCCGTGTGAGGTAGTGCAGGCTAGAGTTATAAATAGCTTCTAAAAAGGTTAGCAAAATGCAGATAATAAATCCACAGTAGGTTACTAAGGGAAACCGGATGTTCCGTGCCAGCACTCACCTGTTGCAGCAGAGTTCCGGAAGCAACCCTGTGGCTCCTTCCAGACTCTGCTCCCTGGGTCCCTCAGGGCTGGAGGGCGAGGCTGCAGGGCCGTGGCACCAGCGCTGGGGACACACACTTCCTAAATCTCGCCTTTATTCAGCGCAGGCTCTCTCCACAGTCGGAAAAGCCTTTTTCCAAATTGCGCTCTGCAGTTCCCATAAGCCCACTCTCTCCATTTCCTCCTCTGGGGAAAGTGTATCGGGAAAGACGTCATGTGAAGAGCCCAGTGAATGCAACGCTTTTCTCTCGTCCCCCTGCACCTTCCCGTCATGCTGGGCCCTTGGGTGTGCTCCACAAAATGTACAAAGAGGAGCTCACTGAGGCCACTTCGGGTGGAGAGTCCTCTGTCAGGGGAAGCACCTCCCAGGCCAGCTGCAGGCCTCATGGGGCAGGCGCAGCTGCTGGACAACGTCAAGCGTGAAACAAATCTCATTTGTCACTGAAAAAGCAACCTCGGGGCACACTAGTATAGGGGATATTTATAGCTCTTCTGCATGCATCTCTGAACTTGTGTGTTTAAGTTTTCACAGACATATGTAGCAACAGCAAAAAGCCTGCAGGTGGACTTCCACGCACGGAGACGGTAGCTACATCTGGACCTCTAGAGATCCCAAAGTCACCCCGGCACACGTCCCCTGAGTGCGGGGATTCTGGGACCTGGGATGACCTAGGCTTTAGTCCTTCCCTCTCAGGGCTATCAGGTTCTGCCTCCCTGCCAAGGATTAAGAGATTAGTTGGGAGCCTGTGGTAAGAGGGGAACTTGCCAGGTAGGCCACGGGCTTGTCGGGACACTGGGAAAATTCTTCCCATTTCCCCTTTGCTTCAAACAGTAAAGTGACAGAAGAGAGAATTTACCCTGCAGACTCCCCCAGAGTAGATAGTGGGTGTGCTACAGAGCCAACAGTGAAGACCCGAAAGCCAGCAGGAAGAGAAAAGTTCCACTGAGGCCTAGGCAGAAAGCCAAACCATCCCCTGAGGTCCCAGGACCGAGGAAGGTGCCTCTGTCAACTTTTACTCCAAAATGCTTGGCAGTCAAAATGTCACAATGCTGTCCTTGACCCACCAGGGCTCAGCCAAGAGAGGAGGGATTCCCTTTGGCATGCCAGCGAGTAAGCTAGGACACTGAGGAGTGTCCCCAGGCAGGCACTCGATGGGAACCGATGCCTACCACACTGTTCTCATTCTCTGTCTCTTTTTTTCTCTGCTAACAGCAGCCGAAGTCAGGTGGAAAGTAGTGCGTTGAACAAGGCAAAATGTTATCTACTTTGAACATTCCTGACTGTTACATTCCTAATAGTAAACTGAGCAAATGATGCCCGTGGCTTTGAACTCGACTGGGGTCACAGAGAAGGCCACCAGTAAGCAAGTAGCGGCTACATGCCAACTTGAGGGAGGTGCTGTCGCTGTTATTTAAATAGATACAGCAAGTGCCCACGTGCATGAGAAAACATTTGAGAGCGAACAACTGCCTCGCAGCACTGTGAGCTGCCTCCTCCCATCCTAGCTTTCTGAAAAAAGAACCAGCCAGAGCCTACGTACACCACTTGCTTCTCAAACTCAGTTACTTCTCTTACATTAATGGGGCTTCTTATCTCTGCTGCAAAGGTTCCAGTGTCTGGTTTCTAGTGGGATTTCTATCAACTGCAGGCAAAATGAATGCACTATCCTCTCCCACCTGGGACTCCCATTCCCCAAGAAACTGAGAGAAGTACCATAATTTCTTGCAGCATCACATAACTCCTTATACTATGTGCAAAGAACAATGTCAGCTGCTTTTACATATGTTAAAGAATTTAAGAGAACCTACAACCTTGGGTAGATTCTGGTTGCCTACGTTTTTGTTATTACAAACAAAATGAATAGCTAGAGGCACATGACAAGCACAAGGTAGAGGTCTGAACCCAACAAAGCCACAGGCCTTCCTCTGCTGCCCATCAGGCCTCAGTGTGATGGTGCGTGCACGCATGTCTCTGTGCACATGCGCATGCACATTTGTAAGTATAAGGAAACTTAGAATGCATTCATAAAGGCATGAAATCTTTTTTTTTAATGTACAGGGTCTACAGGGTCTCACTACACAGATCACACTCAGAGATCCTCCTATTTTCAGCCTCCCAAGCCTGGGATTACAGGCCCAGGCCACCAAGCCCAGTCTCAATTGCCATTTCAGCCTGCCTGGGAGGAAGGGCTGTCACAGGGATCGAACCCAGTCCCTGCATCTGCCTAAGCAGGTGCTTTAACCCACTGAGCTATCTGGCAGGCCCCAAACCTACATATGGCCAGGCATCTGAGCCAGACGCCACTGCCTATGCTAACAATGGCTGTGACGTATCTTGACTTTACATTTGTTCTTTTGTCTTCCTCAAATGTTCAGCACAGTATTATGGGTACAACAGGCACTTGTCACTTGGCCCCATCACTGCTAAAGGTGCACATTAGTAATCAGAGATGAAGTACTACTAACTTTGATCAAAAAAAAAAAAAAAATTTCAGCCCCTGGAAGAAACATCACCAGGGCCTAACACACATCTGGACCAACAGAGTAGGCATCCTACGCTGAGTAAATAGTACTACAGTAGTTGAGCTTCATGTTGATCCTGCGTGGTCTGTACCTTACAGTCTTCCACTCCAAAGAGCAACTGTGATGGCCTATGGAAAAGCCCGATTCTATGGGCACACTCAACCTGGGGTACCTCACTGGATTTAAGTTCCCTGGTTAGACTAGGCAGCATACAACCTCACTCAGAAAAGCATACATTTTTGTGTACACAACCAACCCAAGCAACTTGGGGGAGCATCTCAGTGATCCCCGCTGGAGGGTCATTTTTTGGGTGGATAACCATGAATGTGGTTTAAACCTGTGAATGCTGCTGCCTCATGCCCAATAAGTAGAAGGCACTTGGTAAATACTAGTTGGGATTGAGTGGGCACATAAGTTCCAACAAATACATGTGCAGTTGAATGGGAACATGCAGTCAAAAAAATGATCATAGGGACAAATAAAGGAAATAAGGGAATAAGACATAGCAACAGAAGTTACAACTAAGGACAAGTTTCACAAATCTCTTTTCAACCTGCAATGCCGACCTCTTGTTTCCCAACTGTGCTGCTTAGCAATTGGTCTGGATTGAGTTTTGCCCCTTTCCTTCCCCACCTTCTTGGGCCCAAGAAGGAGCAACACCTACAAGGCAGACAAGAAAAGAGCTCCAGAGAGCTGAGAACTGGCTGTACGGATTTGGGCATTTGGTGACAGGCAGTGGCCTCTGGCACTTCTGCAGCCCCAGATGTCCCTCTAACTGAAACCAAGGCCACAGCAAGGCAGCCCCAGCAAGACACTTCAGAATCCAACAGAGAATCTGCACACAATTCTGAAAGCCTAACCTAGATGAGCTACAAAAGCACCATTACTGAGCACCAAATATGTGCCAGGCTCCACATTAAGCATTTGGGCCTACTGCATCTCCACAGGGGGAAGGTCTTTTATTTTTTAAACTCATTTTACATAGAAAGAAACTCTACTACCGGACTTCCCCAAAGCTGAGTCCTTCACGTGTCTCCAAGGACTTGAGTCTGCATGACACGCAGAAACTTCTGCCTGAGTCTTCCTGTCAAGTCAGAGCTGCATTCTGCAAAACTTTGTCACACACAATCATCTCAGTCCCTGCACAAAAGTGGATCTAGGAAAGACAGTGGACTGGGACAGAGAGATCCAGCAAAGGCCCTGATGCTGCAGAGGCCCAGCCTGGCCTCTACTGATGTGCAAGCACCAGCCAGAGGCTGCAGGGAGATGTGTTTTCTTTCTGCACAACAATCTCTCCAAAGAAAACCCAGACAAAGTAACCTGGCCTTCCTAAAGAGGAGCAAAGCTCTGCGTCCAAGATTCGTGCTGAACTCTTAACCCCGCCCACCCCCACGCCAACCCCAGGGAATGCCGGGATCTGGTGGTTGTTGTTGTTTTCCCCTGTGGTCCTCTGCTAACACCACAAATTACGTTTTCAGGGACTCAAGGCCCAGATTGCAATGATGTTGTAATAAACATAACCAGGACCAAATGCCTTCCCATCATGTTAGATGATGCCATTTCCCACCAATCAGACTCCTCGGGCAGGCAGACCACTCACCAATGAGGGACCAGACAGAGGCTGCGAGGGGGAGACCTGGTCATCTGCAACTAAAAATAAGGGCGCTTCACCATTGGCCTGCCACTTTGCAACCGGAGTTGGGACCCACACACCCGTTGCCACCCGGAAAGACCCACACAGACAAAAACTTTCACAGCCCAGAGGTTCTGTCTGCATTTGTTTGCTTTCTTAATTGGCCGGTCTGAGAAAAGACCCGGCCCAGAGTGAGCCCCCGGCAGACACACCCTCCCACCTAGGCACCTAGATTTCTAGGAGTCCTTCACAGACTCACAGAACTGGGGGGAGGGGGCCGGGCAGACGCCGAAAACTCACCTGTCCCGCCGTGTCATAGAGTCCCAGGAGGTACTGCTTGCCCCCCACAGTGACGCTGACTGCAAAGACAGAAGTGGGGGTGGGGACAGAAGCTCACAGCGACTTGGGCTCTGGGGCAACTTCAGTCCCCACCCTGACCCTCCTCTCCCAACCCACAAGGAGGCACGTGGGCACTCCCTAGGAGATGTCACCCCTTTGCCTTGCGTCCGGATCACTGTGAGTGGCCTGAGACGGGATGTGATGTCCCGCTGTCCGCTCCCTCCCCCCCGCAGGTCCCACAGCCACATCCTGCGCGGTACCCCCAAGTGTCTCCCCCAGGGGCTTGGGGCAGTACAGGAGGTGGCGGTGGGAAGGTCAAGAAGGGCACCGGAGCAACGGGCAGCGGGGAGAGCAGGTTCAGGTGTGGGGTGCTAAGGGGGTGGGCGCTGCAACCAGGGGCGGCAAGGCTAAGCCTGGGAGCAGGTCCGGCGCGGGGGAGGGGAGCGCCGCGCGCTCTGGAGGCGGCCGGGGGCTCCGCCAAAGTTGCTCCAAAGTTCCTGGCCCGGGAGCTGCCCCCTAGCATTCGTGGCTCACCGGCGTAGTGGTCGAAGACGGTGGGCACGTACTCCTCGGGGAAGGCGTCGTTGGCGTAGCTCATGAGCAGGCACGTCTTGCCCACCGCCCCGTCGCCCACCACCACGCACTTGAGCATCAGCGCGCCGGGCCCGTGAGCCATGCTGCGGTCCGGCCTCCGGGCATGGTCCCCGCGCGCCCCCGCGCCAGCCGGGCTCAGCCCCAGCGCGCCTGGGGGGGCCGCCGCC